TGCCTATTTCTCGTTGTTCGCTTTGTGTTGCCGCAGTATTCGCCACAATATTATTTTCCAAAAGTGCCAAATTGAAATGTTAAGTGCCACTTGAAGTAAAATAGGGCCAAAAATGGCACAGATTGACCGAAGCTGGCAGCCCTGGTAGTCAAATAAAGCCCCCTTTCAGACACGTCAAGTCTTGAAAGCAAATTTTTAACGCATTCTCTTTTGTGTTTTATCTTTGCTTCCACACGCGTCAAGTTATATTGAATTCAAGTCCTTGGTTCTTTAAATGGGAAGCAACGAAAAGATCAAAAGAGAACAAGAAAACTTGGAACGAATTGACGGTACGGAGGCATCTGTACTCTTCCCACCTCCTCCACCAACGAACGAGCAGACTTGAAAGCAAGACTTGACGTGTCTGAAAGGGGACCAAGACTTGACGTGTCTGACAGGAGACATAGGAATTGTGTGCAGTGTTGCTGCGGTCGACAAATAAAATTGCCCAAAATCGATCTAAAAATTTAACAAATCCCGTAAAAATTAGGCAACTTTTTTAACGGGTCTTAATAAAACGAAAAAATCCTTGGTATACAGCCGTATTTGAGCTTTTCTTACCTAGCTTGGTTAAATGGTTATAAAAATAAAAAGTATGCAAGTAAGTAGTCAATCTAAGGCTCAGTGTTGTCGTCAAAAGTAAGGAACAGTTGCTTAATAGTTAGCTGCCTCTGAATGCATTGCATAAAATAGCAAAATGATGGTATTGTCGCGTAAACTGTGGCAACTCGAACAGAAAAGCAAGTAAATTGCAGAATGTTCGAGGAATGACGCGAGAAACGTCAAGTGGATGAATTATGCGAACAGCGCGAGAATGAGCAATAGACGCCATAACGTTCTAGAGTTGCCATGAGTGAGAGCGCAGGTATATAAGGCCGCTACCACAGTATAAGTCAAGTTAGTTGCAAGGTATACTGCGGTTGCAAGTCAGCAAGCTTCAAAACAAGAATATGAGATTGCGCCCACGAGGATATTTGAGCGTAATTTTTGCGTGACGTCATCTTGGTCATTTGCGAGAGAAATGCCAAAACGCATAGGAAACAATGCGGAAAAATGTGTTAATATCAATATTAAATGGTCCAACTTTGCAGGAATTAATAAATATTCGAAGTTTAATTAAATAGGAATGTATATATGCAATTTTAGCTATTAGATATTTTGTTTTCAACACCAATAGATTTTGCTTCAAAAAGTTTCCATTTTATCGATAATTGTTTTTATACCTACATAAATAATATGTTTGTATGTATTATGTACGTTTTAAAAGTTGGTAAAAAATTACAAAAACACTTCGTATTTCTAATAAATGCAACAGTTTCCTCAAAGATTATTCACAACCCGATACAAAATGTATCTAAATAAAAGGCAACAAGTGTTAACTTTAGATCTTAACCCCATTACATGCGAAATACACCGAACCTTGTTGGTTGGCCCGCATTATTTAAAGCCGCTTTTAAACTTAATCCCAATACTTGACGTGTGTTAGTCGGGTCAATGATGCCGTCGTCCCACAAACGTGCTGAGCTATAATATGGTGAACCTTCTTTTTCGAATGTCTCCACAATAGGTGCCCTCAATGTGTTGGCTTCGTCGTCGGTAAAGCTCTTTCCGGCGCGTTTCCGCTGATCTGCTGTTATTTGTGCGAGAACATTAGCTGCCTGGGTACCACCCATTACGGAGATACGTGAATTTGGCCACATGTAGAGAAAACGTGGTGAATACGCACGCCCACACATTCCGTAGTTTCCAGCCCCATAAGAACCACCAATAATAACGGTAAATTTAGGCACATTCGCACAGGCTACAGCAGTGACCATTTTTGCGCCGTTCTTTGCTATACCATGGGCCTCAGCATCACGACCTACCATAAAACCTTTTAAAAGAAAATGGCGTACAATTAGAATTAATAAAGTTGATATTGCTATAACATACCAGTGATATTTTGTAAAAAGACTAGCGGTATATTACGTTGTGCACAGAGTTGGATGAAATGAGCACCTTTAAGCGCACTTTCCGAAAACAATACGCCATTATTGCCGATTATGCCAATAGTATTACCATAAAGTTTGGCAAAACCACAAACTAAGGTCTCGCCATAAAGTTTCTTAAATTCTGTAAAACGACTTCCATCCACTATACGTGCTATCACTTCGCGCACATCAAAACTCTTTGTTAACGTGGTACCTACAATTCCATACAAATCACGCTGATCATATCTGGGTTCCTCGATCGATTCTTTGTTGGTGGACTGAATTGCTTTATTCGCCGTTTGACTTGAATATAATAATTGTTCATTGTATCCATTGGTTGATGGCAAATTCAAATTTCGGACAACTTGTCTAGCCAAATAAAGAGCATGTTCATCGTCAACAGCATAATGATCAGTTACTCCAGACGTTTTGCAATGCAAGTCAGCTCCACCCAAGTCCTCAGCGGAAACTTCTTCGCCAGTAGCGGCTTTTACCAAAGGTGGTCCCGCTAAAAATATGGTTCCTTGGCGTTTTACGATAATACTCTCATCGGCCATTGCAGGAACGTAGGCACCTCCAGCAGTACAGCTGCCCATTACAACTGCGATTTGAGGTATACCTAAAGCGGACATGTTGGCTTGATTATAGAAAATCCGTCCAAAGTGTAGCTTGTCAGGGAATACTTCCGCTTGGCGTGGTAAATTAGCGCCGCCAGAGTCCACCAAGTATATACAGGGCAGACGATTTTCTTGTGCAATCTCTTGAGCACGTAAGTGTTTCTTTACCGTTATTGGGTAGTAAGAACCTCCTTTGACAGTAGCATCATTGGCAACGACGACGCATTCAGTACTATAATTAACTACTTTAGAGAAATTATTCTTGAGGATTCATAATACATACCCACATACTCTGCCAACGCCAGTAACAATGCCACCAGAGTTTACAATTTCTTTACCATAGAGATTATAACCCGCCAAAGTGCTTAACTCTAGAAACGATGAACCTTTGTCAAGCAATAAATTAATGCGTTCTCTAGCCAAAAGTTTGCCTCTCGAAGAATGACGCTCGGTCGCTGTAGGTCCACCCCCTGCCAGCACATTCCGAGTGATTTCATTTAACTCGTTTACCAATTTAGTCATTTGGCCGTCATTTTCCTGTGAATGTTTATTAGGTGAGTATACTGTAAAAATCAATTTCCACTAGATTGAACCTTAAACTCCTCAGAGGTCTTATCAACTGATGATGACAAAACATCTGCATCGCCCACGTGCAAAAGTCGCCCTGAGTGGCGAGAAACATGTACTGTAATTTGATTTCTGAACACAGACACTAACTTTAACATATTTTAATCTACGATAATTACAAAACAAAATTAGGTTTGTAATAACAAAAAAAAAAAATTAATTTTGTATTTGGGTCTAATTGACGAGCGAAGCAAAGGCAAGTGGACAAGGTTACGTCACCCGGTGATAGCATTTGATAACGTAGAACAGCTGTTCTTATATTAGGTTTACATATAGGTAGATTATCCTCACGATTGAGAGAATACAAAGGTTGCGCCGATCTCGGACCGCTATTCCTCTCTTAACGAATTTGACAGAATCGTTGTTTGCATGACGTCACACTGGTGCAACTTGTTTACGTTTTCCTTGCAACATTTTTTCTTCTTCTTCCATTCTTGCTCACGTTTTGGCATTTCTCTCTCGCAATTGCACCAGTGTGACGTCACACAATAGTTATTCTCAAAAATCCTCTCTGATCGGCGCAATCTTGTATTCTATCATTCTTGGATTATCCTCATTTTGGAGCTTAACTCCTTAATATGTAATTAGAACAAGTTATTTTTAAGCAAAAAACAAAACCGACTTCAATTCTCTATAAAGATTTAAGATTATTGTTAATTTCTTCACGATCCAATTATCGGCTTTCCCATGGCACCCCAATTACATAGTTCGCTCTCTCATTCGTAATTCGCACTCCAATTACCCTTCGAATTACGTTATTCACCATACAAAACTTTCAAAGCGAATTACCTCATTTGTTGGTAATTCAGATCCAATTACCATGCGAATTAGGAATAAATCGGTGCCGTCCCTAATTTTTATCGGAAATTTATCGATGCTAGCTCACAAATCAATACTAGCATTTTTTCGAGTACGAATTAATTTAATACGGAAACTTAAACATTTTTAGGTTGAACCTACATTTTGTACCAATTTTGTAGCCAAGAGTAACAAAACCAAAACACAGAGACAGAGAACTGTCAAATCGAATTAAGAATGTGCGCGTGGGAATGGGGTAATTCGCCATCGTAATTGGGGGAGCGAACAAAGCAAAAGTATGTTCACATATAAATATTATCACAACAAAAGCTCGTTTCTTATACGATGTTACCACGCTTCGTAATTCGCTTTCCCATTCGTCATTCGTCTTGCCAATTACCTTCCGAATTACGTAACTCACCATACAAAATTTTGAGAGCGAATTACCTCATTTGTAGGTAATTCAGATCAAATTACCATGCGAATGACGAACGAATCGGGGCCTTCTCTAATATTTATCGGAAATATATCGAAGTTTTCACCGGCCTGGTCCCATTTGCTGGCACTTTTTCTAGTTGTAGAATAATATTAATAAAATATTATCTATATATATTAAAATTGTTATGATAACTTAAATTTTAGCTCCATACTCGATATTTGCAGTATACAAAAATAATAATAAATAGCGAAGAACAAGAACAAGAACTACAGCTGCCGAACGAATTACTATTGTGTGACGTGGAAACAGGGTAATACACGAATTACTTAGGAGCGAATTACGAAACGTGGAAACATCGTATTAATCACCCCGTTTACACAGGCAAATCTCAGATTATTGCCGTAAATTTTTTTGTGTTTGTTAGTGGCTGCATTTCTTTATTCATTCTAAATGTTTGGAATAAACTTTTTTGTTTACTTATTCTTTAGAACGTTCCTGATGATATGTTAACGTATATTTCAAACGCATTCTGTTTATTCCGGTTGTGAAATGGGATTATCCGGAATGTATAAAGAAACACAGCCAATACATTGGTTACCAGTAACTATAGCAACAACGTGCCGGAGTTTGAACAAAATGCTGCCATAAAATGTTTTTTCTGGCACACTTGACGAATTTGCGCCTTATGTCTATGTGTAAACGTATTTTAGTATGAGTTAAATCGTTTTCAAAATTATTTATTATGTGCGAACGTACCTTAGGTCGGTGTTATGCAGAAATTTTGTTTGGCAAACTGCGTGCAATTGTTGTTGCAGCAAACTCGGAGAGAGCGAGTTTGGCGACTCTCACAGCAAACTAATTTTGTTTGGTCAAACTGCAGCAAATTCGGTGTTGTCATATACAAAAATTTTAAATTTTGCGCGTTATGTACATCTGAAATTCTCATTTCGTGTTGGCAATAGCCATGAAAACCATAATGAACCTGCAACCCTGTGCCAAACTCGACATAACCACCTTCCGAGCAAACTAAGCAGCCGCCATTTAATTTGGCAAACAAAAGTGTGTCTGCATAACACCGACCTTAACGACCCAAATACCACGATGAAGTGTGGTGCATTCTGGTAAAATTTCTCGCAAGATTTTGCATACAACCCTGTGTAATTTTGACATTTCCTTTTGAGAATTGTTTTTTTTTTCTGTATTATTTGTGAAGTCCGGAACATCACGTCCAGGCCAAGTCAAATTTTTCTGTCGGAGCTAAACCAATTTATTCCAAATTAAAAGTAAAATGTTGGGGCGCACAAGTCTTTTGGCTCGTAATATTACCCAAAACTTGATTAGGCACAGCAGTCATGGCGGTATTCCCGGAGAGGTGTGTAAAATCGATCTTTTTTATGGGGCACATTGTTACATAAGCAGTAAATTGCACGATATTAAACATTAATTATTATTTTGTTGCACAGAACTTGCCTTTTGGCCTAAATAACCGCTATAAACTAACTGCCTACTTCGTGCTTTTCTTTGGATCTGGATTGGCTGCACCTTTCTTGGTTGTCAGACATCAGCTGCTGAAGAAGTAAAATATAAGGTTAGTAATCAAGATCGTACAATATTCACTAGACTAAGTACAACTCCACAACAAAGCGCGAAACGCCTAAAAAGCTTGTAGAGTTGTACTCGTAAGTCCGTTCCAGGCACTTGACGATTTGCAGGTTTTTACGCCACCTTTCATAAGGTTTAATAAATCTGAAAACAGCTTTTCCTGTAAATCCTGAAGTACCTAAGTGTGCGTAATATAAACTTTTTTCTCTTTACAGATCTAAATTTATAAGAATAAAGATGAAACTCCCAGAAGGCTTATCCTGGCTTTTTGCAGAAGTGTTAATTACGATTAAAATTAAAGTGAAATTGTATTCACAAATAAAACACTGTATGTCACACTAAAAATTCTATTATGCACAGTTTTAATAATTTTACAAAACCGCAACTTCTAGGACCGGTAATATCCATTTTTTTTTTCAATAAGATAAATAACTATCCTGTCGTGGGGAATGTTTTTTTTTAACCGACTTCAAAAAAGGTCATCAATTCGTTTTTTTTTTATGTATGTTACCGCATAACTTTGGACCACGTTAACCGATTTCTATAATTGGTTTAGATCCGAACATTAAATCTTGAAGAAATTAACGATAATTTTAAGTTTTTATATGGGAATTTAAGTCGGTTTTGTTTTTTGCTTAAAAATTACTTGTTTTTAATGATATTAAACTGCCACCCGTTCCATTTTGTTCGATCCCTCTCGCTTCGAAATAAAAAGAAAAAAATAATATTTTCAATGCTTTTCTTGTCATTCCTCTCCGAAATAAAGTTGACAACGCCAATTAAATTGAAGCATTTTAGCTTAAAAATAGTTACGAAACGAAAGTTTTATTGAAGATAGGTCCCAAAAATGACTGGCCGACTAGGAGTGCTCGTGCGCGGTGTACGCCAATTTTCCACTACCACCAAGCTTTATGGAGGTGGACATGGTAGGCCGGGTTGCCCTGGAGAGGTGAGAAGCAACTGTGATTAAGAAATAGCAACGAGGTTTATTAAAATTTTTTCAAAGAATCTTCCATTCGATTTGAACGCTGGAAAAGTTAAGCTAACAATGATCATGACACTTTTCTTTGGAGTTGGGCTAGGCGCTCCATGGCTTGTCGTAATGTGGTCGTTTATCAAGGGCAAATAATAGCTGCATAATTTCATTATAGAATGTACGAATATTCAATAAAACTCGTTATTTTATAACTTTAGTTCTTGGAAGCTCGCAAGGGAAGGTGTTGAGAAAATAAACATTCAATAAAAAATAGTATAAAATATTTACTAGTCATTTTCATTATTATCACAATTCATCTTTGTCGTCAAAGTTGTATTCTACATCGTTGGCCATGAAGGAACAATATTTCGCTTGGGCTCCGCAAATTTGAGAGTCTAAATCATCGGCAAGTGTTGGAGCTTGGAAGGCCTTTAAGAAGACAATTTCTTGATCGTCAAGTATTTCCAAACACTATTAACAAAAAGATAATGTCAATCTAATGTTTAGCATTCAAAATGTTAATACTTACATAGTGACCAAGGCTCTTATTTAAATCTCCATCTTGTACAAAATCAACGAGGGAAGATTCGGGATTCATCTTGTCATTGACAATCATTTTAAGAAGAGTGAACTTGCCATTGCTCTTATATGTTGCTTTCACATAATCTTCCATTTTATCACCTGAAATATTCATATGTAGGTACATAGATCATGATCCGATCATTTGAAATATCTTGTCTCCAATTGAACCACCACTCACAAATCTTTTCCATTAACTCAGTCAGGTACATCTCCGACTTAATTAGCTTCACTGTTTTACTTATGGAATTTCCATGAGCATCCAATCGAAAGCCACTAACATCGGCGGTTTTATTTGGGTCTTCCTTGGCGATAGCATTCTCCATCTCCTGTACTGTAGCCTTACAGACTAGAAATTGCAATTGTCGATAATTATTAAAAATTTACATACGCCATATTTACATACCATGGCATTTGACCTCCTCTGAGGTGAATCCCTCTACAACGGACCACAGTAGCAATAAACAAGTAAGGTTTAACAATGATTTACCGATCATATTGTTTAATATTTATGCACACGGTTATTTTTGATAAAGTCAAATTTTATAGAATTGATAAATATATATCAGAACATAAATAAAACAGCATTAAGTGTCAATAACTTTGCCCAAAAAGCCGCATATCTCCAACAAATCAAAAATTATTCCACGTCTCCCTGTTTAATTGGTCAGTTATCGTCTTTTATTGGACTTCACACATGGTATGTTCAGTGAGCTAATAGCTTTGTTCCACACGCTTTCCAGGCTGTTTCGGTAATTAGAGCGTAAAAATAAGTTACTCTCTCACAAGTATCAAAAATGGGTGCGTTCCAGCGATTTTTGGTCAAAAACCGGTAGAAGTGTTAAATAGCAAAATATCTCACACAAGAGAGAGCAACGGTGGAAGAACTGAGAAAAAATGCTGGAACGCAAAAAACTATTTTTCCTGCAGGTATATAAATGTTAGATGTTTGTTTACAGAATTATTTATTAAGCCAAAAATTCGTACACACATTTTACATCACACATTTTAATTCTCAAAAGATCTCGTTATTTTGGTACAATTGGCTTCCATTCTGCTAAAAATATTTCTTATAAATTGCATCAGCTCTTTCACTTGTTATTTACGAATGCAACACTGCTCTTCATTTAATAGTTTTCATGAATTTGCAGGAAGAAAAACTTCGGACTAAATTGACTTTTCACCCTGGGAAAGTCATGCGTGTCGAGCTTGTTGGCAAGAAGTGTAGGGAAGTCAGCAATGAAGTTAATCGTCCTTACGTTGAACTTTCACTTTCCCAACTTTCTACTGTAAAAATATGTGGCTGAAATTCCTCTCGCAACGCAGGTTCACTACGACTTTTAAGTTCTAAATGTCAAGTCAAAATTTGTATTTTTTTTTAATATCAGCGAAATTTTACAATTAAAAACTCTCTACTTGGCGTTGGTGTGTTTTTATCGAAAAGTTTTAACATCGAGCAGCATTTGGAGTTTTGTCTTGCAGTTAGTGTCAAATGGAAACTATTTATGGAACATGTTTCCGATTATCCGGTTTTGTGTTTGAGAGGAAAAAGAGAAAACTTGCAAAACAGCAAAAAATCAACTGCAAATTGAAAAAAACGTTTGGAAAGCTAATGCATTGAGAATGATTGTGAGGTAAATCGAAAACCGTTAAAAGCGTAAGTCCAACAAATTAGATTTTTAACACTAGCAAAAACAATCAACGTTTCATACAAATTAAGGAAAAATTAAAACGAGCCTCATTCTAAATTTATTAAATACGGTTTACGATATGTGCGGAACGATAGATTACGTTCTTTGGCTATTTCATCTTGAAAATTGCATCCCTGCCATTACTCGTTACTTTTCAGCGAATTGCTCAACAATCGCACATCACGCTGCGCGCCATATTGTAAAGTTCTTCAGCAGCAAAATGTACGGTCGGTAAAAATAAATTTTTTTGTGTGTGCTAGTTTGTGAAATATAAAAGAATTTTTGTCAAAAGTTGATTCCCTTCATTGATGGAAAAACTGCAAGCGTGGGAATAAATTCTTCGCATAATTTTGTTTACTATGAGAAGGTGAAAAGTTATACCTAAGCATAAGGAAAAGTGTTGGATCGGCAGGAGGGGTAGTAACATTCATAGCACAAACATACAGTTGTAGAAAAAGGGAGGAATCGGACAAATTTTTCTGCTAACGCAAAAAGGCTTGGTGAAAAATTTGTAGAAGGCCAAAGTCAAGAAAGCCGGGTTGATCAAGGATCACAAATTTAATATTTTTTCCTCATATTATTGTTAAAAGCAATTGGAACGTGCGCTTTATTGAGTTTTCTTTGAAAACACTACAAGAGGTTTTGGGGCCTATAAAGATATATCTAGCTTGTCCTATATCCTATGTACATACATTCATATGCACATATGTGTGTTCAATGGGAGCAGTGATGAGGCGGCATATGATGAAAACGTTGAATACGCGTTAGAAGAAACATCGATTGCACAAAAGAAAATTTTAATTACCAGAAGCACATAGTTGGTGCTGTAAAAACAGTGCTTAAAATCAACCAATTCTCAAATCAGTTTACACATACATATTTGAGACGGCTGCAAAAGGTAAGTGATACAGAAAACTAAATTAGTTAGCTACGTACATTTATAAGCATAATAAAATTGTCGAATGGCATTGTACATTTATTATTTCATTATACATGTAATTTTATTCCCTGCCCCGCCCGCATACTAAATCAGAAATTTATCTCTTTAATTAGGCGTGCAATCTGTTGTTGAGGTACCTACTCCGTAGGTATGTCAAGAGAATTAAGAAAAATGGTGAATTTCTTTATGATATTGTTGCTTCGTTGAAGTTATTGACGCTTCGCTGGTATAAAATCCGACCCATTTTCTTTACAAATATTTCTTTTAACAAATACAAATACCAATCGATGGGTGCATATAAATTCTAACTAAAAATTTGGCCGTTGAGCTTGTTTCGATTTTTCACATTTGCTGTTGACTAGGTAATCGCATCCAACATGTGGAATATATTTTCCCGTCTTATTGCCGGTATTTTTTCGAAAGAAGATGCTTATTGCGGATATTGTTTGCTAATGAATTTTATTTAGATATTTATCTACATAATAAATTCAGACGTACAGGTTCGTCTCCTGGATAAAAAGTTTTTGGTAAGCGCCATTTTGAAGATTTTTAGTTAAAGATGCAGTTATATATTTTAAAATAAGTTCTTTCGATTGCTGTCGTCAGTTTAAATATATCCTTAAGTTCCCGAGATATTAGATAAAAAGTATCTTTAACTGCGTTGACCAATACAAAAAATAGTGTTGCTATGCAAAAACGGTTTGTAGGTAATGTAAAAATTATTACTTTAATTTGAAAGGACTGAAGAGCAGAACCTTGCTTTCTCATAGCCCAAGAATAATAGCGCTGAGAAAATATATGGCATAAGTACTAATCTCTTTCGATACTATGAGCTCTTATTTCCACCTGTAAGATATCTGCAAGTATTACAAGGTTTGCCGAGAGTGCGTAATCTTCTTCGATAATCCTGCTGTTCCACAGAATGAAAGCGTTTACCCGTCTTTAATTCAGCACACTTCTTGATATACCGATGACCCGTTGATGTGCCTAGGATATCTGTGAAACAGTTTTGCGCTTCTTTGTATGCATTCTTAAAGACTGAGGCTTTATTGGCTCATCTAAAATGTTAACTTATAGAGGGGCATCTAAATATCGTAATTTCAGCGCCATCTATGTTTTGGCTCCATTTTTTTGCAGAAGCACTTATCATTATTATTACCCGTTAATCCATGTTATACGATAAGGACGGGTTCTCTAAATATCTCGAGTCCGGCGCCATCTGTCGGCACCATTTTTTGCAGAAGTAAATTATACGCTGCAGAGCGGAATTTCAAATTCATGTAACGTAACACCAGAAAAGTAGAAAAGATTTATACATTTAAAAATTAGCAAATTAATCTTAAACATTTCCAATATTACTACAAAAAATTGTATACAAATAGTCTTGCTCGATTTGCTGAGTTTTTCAATTTTATAATCCAAGTCAAAATCGACTTCTGTTTTTTGTCGCGCCAGTGCGTATGTTTCCTAATATCTTTAAATCGTTACTACCAACAGTTGTATTTTTTTTTTTACTGAATAAAGGGCCATTTAATTGCTATGTAAATCCAGAAAAATATTTTTAAATTTTTCACTGTTTCAATGAAATTAGTAAGGGTTATAATCCCTGAACGCGGCCGACGGCCGCATACTAAATTTTTTTGTTTGATTGATTGATTTACATTTTCTATGTCAAAATCCATATCCTAACCCTTGTTTGTAGAGGGGTCCGACGGGGAAGGATGACTTTGGGTGCCGCACTCACTCGGCATCCGCTCCATACCACAAAATAATTAACCAAACACTGAACTTCATATAAACAAAAATAATTATCATTCATATTCATTCATTCATTTATTTGCTAAAACATTAGTACAATAAGATCTGATATCTTTTATAGTACAACCAAAAGGATATAATAAGGTAATAATGATTACTTAAACTAAAACTTATAACAAAGTAAGACTAAAACTCATAATAAAAAGTACAGACAATTAAACAATACAATGGTTATACATATTAACTTGAAATTTTATACTCAGATAGCGAATCTCATAACTATACAACATAAATTATTTTAACGAAAGTACGCATATAGAACATCCTTAAATTTGCTTTTATTTAGACTACTGCGAGTTGCCATTGGAATAGAGTTCCAAATTCGAATAGCATTGACAAAGAATAGCCGTGCGGCGGTTAGATAATTATAATCTGGTACTATCAAATCATTAATTCGAGCTGATTTAGGGAAAATGAGCTTGTCATATAGATAACCAGGCTCCTTGTGCACAATAAGTTGATAGAGAAAGATGCAGTTTCTGGCTTTCAGATAATCAGATATTTCACAGCCTAATAAACGTGACCTCCAACCAGAGATATGGTCAAATTTAGCTAACCCGAACACATATCGTGTAACATGGTTGAATGCTACCTCAATTTTATGAGCAGATAGAGAACTCAATTTACTATAAACAAGCACAGGGTAGCATATGATTGGCATTATTAATTGTATCGCAAGCTTTCTCCTAACCTGGACCGGCGTATAATTCGCAGAGATTCGTAAATTTCTTAGGATGTTGTATACTTTGCTAACTATCGAGTTCACATGATCGTCACATGTTAAACTAGTATTAATGATGAACCCAAGATTAGTCACCTTAGACACAAGTTTTAGACACTTATCAGCTATATATAAGGGCGGCACGTTTGAAAAATTTATTCGTTTTTTAGAGACCGGCAGCACGTAAGATTTATCACTGTTTAGACACAGGTCATTTCTTCTCGCCCATGCAAAGATGGATGTTAAGTCGTTATTAAGCCTTGTACAAAGGTCACCTGTTTCCTCATGATTTCCCGACAGGTACAGTTGAATGTCATCCGCATATGCATGCATATATACATGATGGCATGCAGAAAATATGTCATTTATAAAAAGACTGAACAATAGTGGAACCAGGATAGAGCCTTGGGGTACACCATCTAGCAGTGGTTTAAGACCAGAGGTATTGGAGCCAATTTAGCCCCGAAGCCAAAGTAGCTTTTTAATTTCATACAGAGTAAGTCGTGGTTCACGGAGTCAAAAGCTTTAGAAAAGTCAAGTAGGC